CTGCATGGAGCACTGGGTGTTATGCACAAACAATGAATCATGGAACACTTCATCTAAAACTAATGATGTAATGTATGGGGATTAACATAAGAATAAAGATAGGTGTTTATAACAAGAGATATACTTGAAGTGAGCTTGATCAAAGCTGTGGATAGAAAAAAAAAACAGAATAGGAGCATGGTTTTAAGTGTGATGATACCTGGGCTAAATACTATTTGATTAGTCTGCCAGTTGTGGTGTAGACTTGAAATAGCTACCTTGAAGTTTATCCATCAGGCCTCCATTTTACAAAATAGAAAGGAACAAGTTAAATAACTTGTCCATATTTGTACATCTGATTTGGGACTAAAGCCCCTCTTTCCTAATCCCTGTTGCTCTTTTCTGGGGTTGTCTTGGGACAGTGGTGGTCAGAGAGAGAGATAGATATTGGCTGTTTGTATGGATATAAAAATATTTGTAAATGAAATGTTTGTCCAGGAGTATCTACCTTGGTATTTTCATTGCCAGAACAGCCCCATAGCAGGAGCTAATACTGACTTCAGTGCCCCAAGAATACTAGGAATCAGAGTTAATAAAGCCTATTAAAAGTCGCCAGGATGTAAGATGAATAAGGTCGGAGGATCTGATGTATAACATGGTGACTATAGTTGGTAACATTGTAGTGTATAATTGAAATTTGCTAAGAGAGTAGAACTTTAAGTTCTATATTTAATGATTTAATGTTCTTACCAAAGTGGGAGTGGGGGTAGCTGTAAATATATGAGGTGATGGTTGTGTTCATTGCCTTGATGGGGTAAATCGTTTCACAACGTATATGTATATCAAATCATCATGTTGTATACTTTAAATATCTTCGAATTTTATGTCAGTTGTTATACCTCATTAAAGCTGGAAAAAATAAATTGTACATATAGCAGGTTAATAGGTAATCATACTTTATATAGTATTCTGCAATTTGCATTTTTATTTAAAAATATAAAGTGAACCTCTTTCTAAGCATATATACTCACACATATACATATATACACACATATACAGGTGTGCATGAGCAAGTAATTCTTTCTCATGGCTACAGAGTATTTTACATTATGCATGAGCCACAGTTTTTCAACCATTTGCCTATTGATGAACAATTGATTTGTTTCTGTCTTTTCTTCTTTTCTGTTTTAAACAGTGCTATTCTAAACATCTCTCTACATTTATTTTAAATGGTCATGTTTTTCTTTCTTTGAGATATAAATCTAGATAACCTGAGCTCAGGCTCTAAACACCTTCAGTTGTTTGCTTTTAAAAATCTCTGTTCATGAGGGAATTACTGGGCTTTTTTTAAAAAATGCAAATTCCTGGGCTTTACCTAGTGACCTTAAAACAGGTATTCATTTTCAGTGACTTTAAAGCAGATACTCCTGAAGCCACAACTTCAGGAAACACTGTTAAAATCTTAATTATCTTGGGTAAGTTGCATGGCATTTTTAAGTTTTGATTTCCTTGTTTTCCCACACTAGAATGTAAAATCCACCAGGGTGAATACTTTTTGTCTCTTTAGTTCACTGATTGATGTTCAGGGCCTAGAACCATGCCTGGCACATCAAAAACACATAATAAGTACTTGATAAGTAAAAGAATGAATGAATAAATCTGTAAAATGGAGCTAATATTGACTGCATAGGATTGCTTTACGGTTTCAATACAGTAATGCATCTAACATTATTGTATACTGCAGGCACTCAGTAAATATGAACTCTCTTTGTTTTCTTGAATTTTCAGTCATAGTATACAAAATGCCCACTACAATTCAATGGATGGTCTTATTTAAAACAATAATTATAATTTTTTTCTTTTTTTAATTTAATTTTATTATGTTAATGTTAGTCACCGTACATCATTAGTTTTTGATGTAGTGATCCACACTTCACTGTTTTCATATAAATAACACCCAGTGCTCCGTGAATCATGGAGCACTGGGTGTTATACGAAAACAGTAATTATAATTTTTAAGAAGTCACCAGGATATAAATTGATAGTCATTTGTTTTTCATCATAATTCAAAGATATTTTGTCTTCTGTCATCTTATTATTTATATATGCTTGATTGTCTCACACTAATTTATTTGTAGTATCTTAAATGTTCTGTGGTTTTCTGTAGTCATCTGAAAATAATCTCTCTCCACTTGAAAGGGTTACTTAACTGACATAGCTATGAACACAATCAAAAACCAATAAGTAATCCTTTAAGGAAAGTTCCTATGTGACCCCCATCAACCATATTCTGATTGTCTTCAATAGAGTCCAGAGGAAGTATTTATGGCAATCCGGAATCCTCTCGAATGGCACTGCAAGCAAATGGATCATTTTGTTGGACTCAATTTCAACTCTAACTTTAACTTCGCACTGGTTGGACACCTCTTAAAAGGTAGAGGACTTGTGTCAGAATATTTTTTATGAAATGATATCAGGAAGCCAGAAGTAACTAAAATAATCTGTTATTTGAAATAAGTTGAAACAATTTGGCTCATATGTCTTACTTTTTTTTTAAGATTATTTGAGAGAGAGCAAGCTCAAGGGGAGAGGGTCGGTGGGGAGGGGTAGAGAGAGAGAGAGAATCTCAAACAGACTCCCTGCTGAGCATGGAGCCCAGTGTGGGGCTCGATCCCACAACCCTGAGATCATGACCTGAGTTGAAACCAAGAGTCGGACATTCAACCAACTCAGCCACACAGGCGCCCCTCGTATATTTTACTTTAAATGCAGATATATCTGTCTTATTGAGCTATGTTTTATTCAGTATGTATTTTAATAGAGCCTAATCACTGTATCAAATATCAGATTTCCTTTAAAATGCAAAAGTGTTGATTCTTGAAATAATCCTAAATACCGGACTTTCTAATAGCTAAGTATCTTTTTGATTATTTAAAATAAGACAGACTGCAAATCAATAAATGATGTTACATGGGTAACTTATGTTAGAATATGATATCTTAGAGATTTGATTACAGATTTTCTTCAACTTGTTTCTAAGGTATTGTTGTTCAGTCGCATTGTTACATACCAAAGCACCTCACCTTTCTGGTACCCCACCCTCACCCCTCCAAATTTCTGAATTGCTGATAGCAGTGGTCTCCTAGTCCTCAGAGCCAGCTCGTTCACTGCCTCTCCTGGCTTTACTCCCCATTGCTGACTTCACTGTATGCTAGCTTTGGTTTACTAACATGGAACAGTCATGGCCAGAGACTACAGTTAACAGGAACGGCGCATAGTGGTAAGTCAGAGACAAAGGCAGTGGAGAGTAAGGCTTGGGATGAGGAGCTGGCATGAACCAGTAGTCTTAAGCAGCACTGGCTTTGGCCACAATTAGAGACTCAAGCTCTAGCTTGAGTCTACAGTTTTGTAAATCAATGTAAATGATTTTTAGGCTTGAGGGATCATGGAGGTTCCCCAGTGTTTACCTGACAGATGTACATACACCTACTACTGTGAATGTAAACATTTGATTTCTTTACCTTATGAAATTTCTGCAAAAATATTAATAGTTTTAATCTCTAAAGTGAATAGGGATTGCTCAAAACGTATTACACTTATGACAGGATACCAAAAAGAAGGATTGCATGAGGCTGATAAAGTGCTTGCTGATTCTGTATTTCTAAGAGTATCAGATATTTTCAGAGTACAGATCCCCTACTTTAAAATGGAGTAGCACTGGGGCGCCAGGGTGGCTTGGTTGGGTAGACGTCTGCCTTCAGCTCAGGTCATGATCCCGAGGTCCTGGGATCAAGCCCTGCATCAGGCTCCCTGCTCACTGGGGAGTCTGCTTCTCCCTCTCCCGCTCCGCCCCCCACCACCGTTTGTGCTCTAGCTGATTCACTCTCTCACTCTCAAATGAATAAATTAAAAAAAAAAAATTGAAATGGAGTAGCACTAACCATTAAAGGCTGTCCAAAGATCAAGCTTACTCTCTGATCAAACCTATTCTTTGGGTTTGAGAGCATATACATCCTACACTATTAGATTTTTTTCCTTTAATTAAAAAAAGAAATAATTTTTAAGCAACAGACCCTATTTTCAAAAGCTATCTTAAGGTGACCTCAAATACCTAGATTTTTTTTTTAAATCCCCTCACTGCTTTAGGGAATGGAATATCTGAAACAGCATCCATCTTTCCTTATTTTCCTCCCTTAGAGTTCCAGGGAGTAGTATTTTCTTCTACACATGTTTGGTACTTAATCTTTTATGTAATTAATTATTCATGTACGTATGTTTTACCTTCCCCAAACGGCTGTTCTCAGAAGGTAGGAGTTATCCCTTATGTTTCCTTTCCTTGCAGAGTTGCTAGTCAGTAAGAACTCAAGAAATACTTGTGAAAAAATGGATTAACTTCTTGTTTGTTTTTATTTTTCGTAGGGTACAGACATCCTTCACCTGCCATTGTTGCAAGAACAGTCAGAATTTTGCATACACTACTAACTCTGGTTAACAAACATAGAAACTGTGATAAATTTGAGGTGAACACACAGAGCGTGGCTTATTTAGCAGGTAAAGACACAAAATAGACAAAATTAATCTTACCGCATCTCTATCTAAGGATTGCCAAAATGACACACACCTGTCGGTCCTTCAGCTGGCTGCTTGACAGGGTAAAGAACTCACAATCTGGGCCTGTGGTGGTGGTTACAATTTTGAAAGTTTTGCCAAAACATTTTTCCTTATAAAAGAACTTGCATTAGAGTCTGAATGTGTTCCCTTTGTCATCTTTGGTCCCTTTGGCACTGCATGGTTCCCTGTTGTCTGTCATAAAGTCTGAAAGCCTCAGCCTAGCATCCTGGGCCCTTCAGCCCCTCTCCTAATTCTGCTTTCTTTCCCTAAATTTTGTAAGCCCCATTTTTTATTAACTCTCCAGATGGATGGGCTAGTTTAAGCTCATCCACTTGCCTTTCTGCTTCTTTCATATGCATTCCTGATGCCATTTGCTTTACCTAGAACATCTGCCCGGCTTTGTGTTTCTTCACTCAGCAACACTTAGCACTTACGTATAATACAGTTCTTGAATGTAGTTGTTCAGTGGAAAGTGCTGATTCCCAGTTTAGCAGACTACAGTTTGTGGCTACTTTTGTGTTTGAATCATTTGACCTTGGGCAAATCATCTAACATGTCAGAGTATTTTTATCTAAAAAATGGACCTCATAGTACCTGTCCTGCCTACTTTCTGTATTTGTTGAGATCAAATGTACATTAAAGCACTTGAGAAATAGAAGGTTCTTTTTTAAATCTCCATATATTTCATGTTTACATCTTCCAAAGCAGACTATGAACCCTTTAAGGAAAGTCTGCCCTAAGTGGTTTATACCCTTCACACTCTCCAGGGCTCTTTATCTGCATGTCTAATAGCTATTATCCTCTTCAGGAGGTGGTAAGAAATGTATCCTGTTTTAAGTCACACTTGGAATTTGTTAAATTTTCTAACCTTCCTTCTTTTTCCTTTTAGCCTTACTCACAGTGTCTGAGGAGGTTCGAAGTCGCTGTAGCCTAAAACATAGAAAGTCTCTTCTTCTTACTGATATTTCAATGGAAAATGTTCCTATGGATACATATCCCATTCATCATGGCGACCCTAGCTATAGGTCAGTGGCCTTCTTCTCCCATGATTACATAATTATAATCAGGTTTCAGTTTTCCATGCTAGGAGAGGCAAGCAGCAAGAGTAGTCCAGAAGGGAATATATAGGGGGAAAGATAATCTAGGAAGAGTATATAAATCAAAACCCTTCTTATAAATGTACAGTGTTCTGTGTGGATTAGTAGTAGGACAGTTCCTCTAAGCTAATCATTCTGTTAACATTAGTTTGCCTCTTTTAAGCACAAACCAGTTGAGTAATGAAAAGAGATGATCTTGAAATCACTGGGTTGCAAGAAAGGGCCTAGGAAAAACTTCCATGGAATATGAGCAACATCACATGCTAAATGATGGAAAGCTAAGCTGTACAGATTTGTGCAAAGATATACATGCCACCACATTTGCATTTACTCTTATCACACTAACGTTATTTAAGAGTTTTCTAGAGTACAGATTTAGATGATAAGATAGTCACATTATGTCCACTGCTGTATGTGGTCTTGGGTAGCATATTTTTCACTACAACATGGAGAAATTATATGAAAATGTCATTATTTTGGAGACTTTCTATATTTTCAAATTAAACAAAAGTATCTAAGTTTTAGGTATAGTGTTGAACATAGGGAAATAATCTTGGATCTGTAAATCTTATACCATTCAATTTATCAACATCCCACTTTTGGATTAAAAAGCCCTCCACAACTTCCCACTGAGATTTTAACAAAGTATGCAAAATACCTTTTCCAGGTATACTTGGTTTTCCATAGTCTTATTCTTCGGTCATTCCTTTATTATATTTCTTTGAGATATGCCCTTCTTGTTATGAAAAGGAAAAAATTAATTTGCTTGTGTTCCCTTGTCAAAGTATAGTTGATTTTCTTGGTTTTTAAACCAAGAATATAGTTGCCTGTTTAGACTTGATTTCCCCAATTGAAAAATCAATGCAGTACAATTCTGCCATGCGTCGGTGAGCACCTACTGTGTACAAGATTCATGGCAAGAAAGTAGGTGCTAAGGAGAAAAGTGCTAAAAGAGAATAGTGCTAATTTTTAAGAAAATTTCCCGAATAAATGAGAGAAAGAAGGAAGGAAGGAGGCGATTTCTTAGACATGCACTAAGAGTTTGTACCCTAAAGCCCTTGAAAGTGCAGTTTTAAAATTAAGTGATTGCTATCATTGGGAAATAGGACAGCCAATTAAGAGGGGCAAACAGTGGTTGTCTTTGTCACCATGTCACTTAATTCTTCTCAATTGTTTAAATCTCTCAGGACACTAAAGGAGAACCAGCCGTGGTCATCTCCCAAAGGTTCTGAAGGGTACCTTGCGGCCACCTATCCAACCGTGGGCCAGACCAGTCCCCGAGCCAGGAAATCCATGAGTCTGGACATGGGGCAGCCTTCTCAGGCCAATACGAAGAAGTTGCTGGGTTAGTTTACCTAAATGATACACAATTTTTTATACTTATTTTTTTTAATGGTCAGATACTTTCACTCTTGGAAAATTATTTGAAGCTGTTCAAAATTATCAAAATTTCCCATTTTGATATAGCAAAGCTTTTGATGCCAATTATAAGAGAGTTTGATAGGTCAGTTAAGCCATATCAGTTGAGACAGAGGAATGAGAATGGGATCTTGAAACAGTTTTTTTCTGATTCTTAGATTAAATACTGTGGTTGTCCTTGTCCTTCGTTCTGTCTTGGCCAAGCAATGGAGAAATGGGAATAGGAGAGACGTTAGCTACTCACGAGAAAGGAGGCATCTTGCTGCACTCAGGTGCAGGGCTTTAACAATATATTTTCTCAAAAGTACCATCTGAGAGCAGACTACATCAATACACTATGAAGCTATAATAATACTTTTTGCCATCTTTTCTTTTAAAAGACAATAAAGTAAGATTTTTTTTGATTAGTGTATTTTTTTATTTCTATAAGAAGATATGATTCTTGAAAGTTAGGATTGCTCAGTTACATCAGCATTTGTCAATGAGAAGTACACCTAAAATTCTGTGAGACCCTTTCCCTTTATAAAAACTGGAAGTAAATAATGAGAGAGCTCACTGATCCCACCTCACCACAGAGGGAATGCAAAGATGCTCTTAGGCAACTTTGGCTAAAGTTCTCATTGTTACTAGAGTACTTCGAGATCCATATATCAGTGACCAACACTATGAATGGCTCAGTGGGTTTCGGTTATCCATACAAGCATATTTTTATATATCTTTGGGTACTGGGACAGTGTCTCTGTTCATAAGGAAAGTAGTGAGCAATGAAGTGTGAAATAAATAACCTGCCAGTAAGCCATGAAAGAAACTGAAACCATGAATGTTAATCACTGTTACTAGTCACATAGGGTTTCTTTCTGTTTATGCTTTGTCACAAAATAGTCTTCTAGGAGTTTCCTGGTTACTTTGTATTTTGTAGTTCTGGATTTTCATGCTAAGGAAGTTATAAATGAAAAACTAACTTCAGAGAGAATGTTCTATTGAATTCGTTCAGCCCATGTGCTAGATGAAAAAATTATGGTCTCTGCCCTGAAGAGCTCATAGTGTGGTGGCTAAGACTTACAATCAGCTGATTACAACAGTATCCATAAGTGCCATTAAAGTAGCATGTCTTGCTGAGGGGAACCCGAGGATCTGGGGAAATTAGGAAAAGCTGCAGAGAGGTGGTAACATTTGAACTGGGTCTTGAAGATTTAATACATGCTTGCCTGACAGACGCAGGATAAGGAAGGTGAGCATGAATAAAGAAAAGTGAGGAAAAGCACCTGTAGGAAACGAGGCTAGCAAAGGATTGGAAGTAGATCGCAGGAGACTTTGTATGCCATGTTCAGGAGCTTAGCTGTCTTTCCAGCAGGGATTGTTAAGTAGGGAAGGAACATTACCAAATTTTGTTTTTAGGCAAGTTTTTCTGGCTCCAGCATGGAGAAATTGGAAGAGATGTTTGACAAGGGGACTGTATAAGAGATAGAGCATCCAAACAAGAGAGGGTGTGGACCTCCACTAAGGCAGGAACAATGAGAGAATGGAGAAGAGAAATCAGGTTTGGGGTGAAGTGTGAGGTGTAGAGCAGACGAGACTTAGTACAAGTCCCAATAATCCATTTTCGGTACTTTAAATAGAGAAAGGGATTTCACGTAGAGTGATATATGCTAGAGAGACTCAAAGCCAAGTGGAGGTGCTACTGTACTACTTGCCATTTTTAAAGCATCTCTCAGGAGATGTATTATTTAGTACTTTTAGGCATACAAATATTGTTTTCAGAGAGTGAAGAGTTAAAATCAAACTTTGATCTTGCCTAGTTTGGAAAGTTTTCATATGTTAATGACTAATTCTTGCCACAAGCAGAATTTCTTAAATTGAAAAAAAGCTGTTCAGACATAGTTGATCTTTGCTACTGAACAGTGCATACGCCTGTATTCATCATCAAATATTGTGCTTGATGGTGGAGCTTGGTTTACCTCCAGTGTAATGAATGTGATCTCAGTCTAAATTGGACCAGTAAGATACATCCTGTCCTGAGATGCAAAGCCATGGGGCCAAAATTCCTTGACAAAATGGAGAACAAAGGAGAGAAACTCTGCCCCAGGGATATATTTGAGCTTTCTTTGGGTCCTTAAGTGAAAACTTAAACACTTGATGTCCAAACATTTTCTTTTTAGTATAATCCTATTCACAGACACTGTGGTTAATGAACTGCCATATTCTGTAACTTTTGTTTATAGGAACAAGGAAAAGTTTTGATCACTTGATATCAGACACAAAGGCTCCTAAAAGGCAAGAAATGGAATCAGGGATCACAACACCCCCCAAAATGAGGAGAGTAGCAGAAACTGATTATGAAATGGGTGAGAAACAGAGTTAATAATTGATCTAGATCATTGAAAATAAGGTGGGAGAGCCATATTTGCTTTCCAGCCATTTCTTAGAATCTTGAGGATGAAATGTAGACGCATTTGCGCTTTTTCAGAAGATAAGCTATACAGTCCTTAAAATGAAAGTAATCCTGAAACCTGTATAAAAAGTAATCATATACATGATATACAGCATTGTGAACAGCCAGCTAGAACTTTTGTATAGGTGACTATTAATTCTGTATGTTTATGTTGCTGTTTTTAGTGCCTACTAAAAAGCTATTGAATTTTAGAAGTAACATTAAAATATGTTAGGTGAAGTGGTATTTAGTGTATATGTTCGGTTAATACAGCTGATCGTCTTAATCCATATCTTACTGCAGAAACTCAGAGGATTTCCTCATCACAACAACACCCGCATTTACGCAAAGTTTCAGTGTCTGAATCAAATGTTCTCTTGGATGAAGAAGTACTTACTGATCCGAAGATCCAAGCACTTCTTCTTACTGTTCTGGTAAAGTTTACCTTTTGGTAGTGGTGCGGGGGAGGGGGGTTCCCCTCAGGTTTGTATTCCAGTATACTCTTAGGAGGCCCTTAAACATTAAAAACATGAAAGGAAGATTGTCTTCTGCTTCTCACCAGAACATATAGCAACTCAGCCACAAAATAAAATGTATTTTGTTGACTTTTTTGCCCTTTGGCAGGCTACGCTGGTAAAATACACCACAGATGAGTTTGATCAGCGAATTCTTTATGAGTACTTAGCAGAAGCCAGTGTTGTTTTCCCCAAGGTTTTTCCTGTCGTGTAAGTATCTCCTGTTTGTGTTTAACTTTTGTATCTGTCTTGAAGTCGTATGTTTTATAAAAGCTTAGGAAAAGTATCATCCAATAGTGTTCACTGGTTGTGGGGAGGGGAATGTGAGACAGTATGATAGAGGTTTTAGCTTAGAGACAGTGGGTTTAGTGGGGGCTAAGACTAGTTTTGGCCTATTAGGGAAAACATTTTTTTTATCTTGTCAATTTTCTGTTTTTTTTTAAGATTTTATTTATATATTTGAGAGAGGAAGAGGGAACACGAGCAGGGGGAGAGACAGAGGGAGGCTCCCCATGGAGCAGCGAGCCCAATGCAGGGCTCGATCCCAGGACCCTGAGATCATGACCTGAGTGAAGGCAGATGCTTAACTGACTACTGAGCCACCAGGCGCCCCTCTTGCTGATTTTCTTAAGTGCTTCATCATGATGAGCATTGTTCATTTCCTCACTTAGGAGCAAACCATTAGACGCTTTATGTACCTGTTTTGGTTTCTCTTGTGGTAGAGCTTTTGTATTTATCCACAGCTGAGTGAAAACAAAAAACTTTTGATACAGGAGATGAATTTTTATTCTCTCTTAAGAGCTAAGATCATATTACCCTCAAATTATTCAAATCTCAGTAACCCAAAGAAGCTTGGGAAATCCTATTCCTGATCTAGGCCTTCTATGTGGTATCATTATTTCCTTATTTTTGTTTGATCTCACTTTAGAATTTCAGAATTTTATATAGTTGGCTCTGGGTTATTTCTATTAATAGAGCACGACCAGGTTAGACATAGTTTCCTCTTACTTTTTAATTAGATCATATATTCCACCCCTCCACACTAATTTTGCTTTCCTTAATCGATCTGATTCAGCATTTATTAAACATTGATTGATATTAAATTTAGTTTTAACTGCCTGGGCACATACCAACAGTCAGCAGAAAGAAATGGTCCTAAAACATACCAAGTGACAGAAGCCAGCCTTGTCTTGAGCAAACAGTCACCATATATAATTAAAAATGGCTATGTGACAGTACCAGTTGTTTGTTTTTACCATATTTTTTTGATGATTAAAAATAACAAAAGGGCACCTGGGTGGCTCAGTTGGTTAAGCGCTGGACTCTTGAGTTCAGCTCAGGTCATGATCTCAGGCTCTGCATGTCAGGCTCTTTGCTTGTCCCTCTCTCTGCTCCTCCCCCTGCGTGCTGTCTCACACACGCTCTCTCTCTCCCCCAATAAATAAATAAATATTTTTAAAAAATAAGAATTAAAAAATAAAAACAAAGGACAGACCAAAAAAATAAATTCATACATTTATTTATACAAAATTTGAAAAAACACCAGAAAGTAAAAAACACTCCTCTCCCTTCATTTTTATCACATTGTACTGGGGAATATATGATGTTTTCCAGTGTATATTTTCCATTTAATTTTCCTTTAAAATGTTCTTGTGTTTACTTTTTGTTTGTTTTTGTGTAGGCACAATTTGTTGGACTCTAAGATCAATACCCTGTTGTCATTGTGCCAAGATCCAAATTTGTTAAATCCAATTCATGGAATCGTGCAGAGTGTGGTGTACCATGAAGAATCCCCACCACAGTACCAAACATCTTACCTACAAAGTAAATCAGTGTCTCGGGAGGAGGATGATTGATGAACTTGCTAGCATGTGCACTGTTACAGAATCACCAACTAAAGAATTCCTTATAAGGATTGGGGTTATTCATACTTCTCTCTCCATATGCCATTTTTTACTCTTTTCATTATGTGTTCAATAAGTAACCGGCTTACAATTTCTTAAGATTTAATTATGGTTTTGTACTGAGTATGTTTTATGAGTTTTAGTCTACTCTGACATTCATTCTGAAAAAGTGTTTTCAGTGTGTGTGAGGTTTTAATTTTTGTCATCAACCATATAACTTATTTAATTTCTGTTAAGATTAAAAGAGTGTTGTGCTTATTATAAGAATAACATTTGGTTTGTTGCAGGTTTTGGTTTTAATGGCTTGTGGCGGTTTGCAGGACCCTTTTCAAAGGTAAGAAAAATCTGTTTTTCTCTATTGATAAAATGAAAGTTTTTATTCATATTAGTGTGCCTGCTTTAAGAACACACAGTATGCTGAAAACCAGAATGATGATTCACGATAAACACATATGTTATTTTTATAAAATGTTTTCCACCACAAGATTCTTTCTAAGAGGCAGCACCTTTAATAGGTTTATATATCAGTTTTTACAAAAAAAACTCAGTTCAATTTATGCTTGACTTTTCAAAAGGGTGTGATAAACCTCTGTAAAGTTTTCTACTCTCAGTCACTTGTGTGTTTGATGATCGTAATGCATACACTTAGGTATCTTGTAATTAGGAAGGAGCATGACCTATGGTTAAAATCTACCTCATGACCCAAAACTAATATAATGTTATATGTCAATTAAATCTCAGTTTAAAAAAAAAAATTATATGATGAAAAAAAATTTCCTCATGAGAACATTTTTCCTTCTAGCCTATTGGATTAGATTCATTTTTATCCGGAATATATCCTATTTGTTCATTTTTTTCTTTGATTGGCATTAGTTGATATAGTGCTACATAAATGTGTTTTTAATTATTCTCTCTATGTATGGCCCCTCCAGATGGATTGAGATTCCTTGAAGGCAGGACTTCTGTTTCTTCCCTGCACAGTTCCTAGTGCAGTGTTTTAGATACAGGGGTGCTAAGTCAAGGTGAATTATCTAAATCTTACTCTAGTTTTAAGAATTTGGTATTTAGTTTTTTATTTTGTTCAGTTATTACTGAACATCTCTTGATATGCAAAGGCTATCATTTAAAAAATGGGCCTGAATTCCTAGAAATATGTATATCTTGCAGGAAGGTTTGTAGTTTGACTGCCAGTAACCCTCTGCCCTTCGCAGTGCTCAGCTGGGCTCAGTCGGTTGAGTATCTAAATGGCAGCTGGTATGATGATCCTCTGCTCATTTTCTCTGTTTTGGAAAATTGACTTGACATCATTGCTGATGGTTTTATTGTCTCAGGATTAATTCAGTCTTTGCCTTTGCATGGCTTTCAGTAATTGCAGGTTCATCTGGAAGCTCTAGGTGTAAGCTGAAGAGTTCCCAGTTCTAAGTCCCATGGTAGTCTAGAAATACTATGCCACCCCTTTTTTTAATGCTCTCTAGTACAAAAGAAGAAAAACAGTAAATTAAGCCCAAAACAAAAATTGAGTTAATCTTTTTTGGCTTCAAAGGGGATTTACAGAAAAAAAGAATGGAGCTAAAATAATTTCCTATTTTCCATTACAGCAAACACAAATCCCAGACTATGCTGAGCTTATTGTTAAGTTTCTTGATGCCTTGATTGACACGTATTTGCCTGGAATTGATGAAGAAACCAGTGAGGAGTCCCTCCTGACACCCACTTCTCCTTATCCTCCTGCAGTGCAGAGCCAGCTTAGTATTACTGCTAACCTTAACCTTTCTAATTCCATGACCTCACTTGCAACTTCCCAGCATTCCCCAGGTTAGTAAATGTAATCTTTATATAAATTTGAGCAATAATATTAATATACCAACATCAGGAATTCCCTTGTTATCAGGTTATAGTAGATTTTGCTCCTTTTTATCATGAGGTTCATCTTACATTTCTTCTTTACCTTATGGCTGACTTGAATTTTGTTATTCTGTAAAGCTTTCTACTTTCAAACAGTTACTCATAAGATAGTGAAATGTTTAGAGTGTTCACATAGTGTTCTAAGGTTGATAAGTTTTTAGAGTTTGGGCAGGAAGAGCAGCCTCTAAGGTACCTTACCCTGTAAGAGAATTAGAATTCCCTTACTAGATACACTAGCCTTGCCCTAAGGGCTTCTGTGTCTATGGTACAGCATACTGTATCCAAAAAATACACAAATTATGGTAGTACCCCATGTCCCTGTTGCCAGCAACAACTCAACCATCCAGAGACCAACCTGAAAATCTAGGAAAATCAACAACCAGAGAAACGTCATCTCAAGTAAATAACATCTTAAAGCATACAAGCGTATTCCTTACCACGGAGTCACTCTTAGCTCCACATGGGAGAAGTATGCCAATGCAACATGCAGCTAAGAGGTGGATACACTGAGAAATAATAGCTAATAGCCTGAGTAGGGCTGAGATACACAAGATGGCGGAAATGGCAACCTGTAGGCTTCTGGGCTCATTCAGTGTCAGAGTGAATGGTTTCCTACAACTCTGGTTGACCCTAAAGGTGTTATTCATTGCAGAGCTGATGCCATTGTATGTGATGATGACAGTGGGTAGTGAGGGAAAACTTCCATGTGGTCATGTTTTCCATTCAGAACGATACCCTTCTAAAATGGTAAAAATTTTAAAAAGGTTTTGTGTTTAAAGTTCCATTATCTGAAAATTTTACTTATGAGGCACCGATGTATAGTTACTGTACATCGTTCTGTTTTAGGTGTTAACATGGATTTTCTTTTTAAAAGTCTAGTAATGTATCACAACTGTTTTGTGATGTTCAAGACCCATAAATAGAATCCCCGGTTTATAATCCCAATTTTGCATGAATATTGAAACATAGTTTTGAAGGCCTGAAGAACTTAGCAAATATAATACCCAATTCATATTACAAATGATTGTATTAAAATAACTATATTCATCTGTTAAGCTTTCATCAACAACAAAGCTTTGGTCAGCAGAGGAAACAAATTGTTTGGTCCAGCATTTATTTATCAATCCCCTTACCACACCTAGTCAGATTCTTTTTTTCCTCCAAGAAATAAGAGAAATCTGGCCAGCGTTTCTTCTGCATATAACCATGTTCATTTGCCCTCTGTCACTTACTCTCTAGGACAGTGTTTCTCCAACTGTGATCCCAGACCAGCATCAGCATCATTTGGGAGCTCACTAGAATGCAGATACTAGAGCCCCAGCCCAGACCTCCTGCATAAGAAACTCCAAGAGTGGGGTCTAGCCAGCAGTCTGTTTTAATAAACACTCCAGGTGATTCTTACACACACTAGAGTGTGAGAAGCACTGCCCAAGGGTATGCCTGTGATCCTGCCCCATTATCAGCGTTTCAACCATTAAAGCCAAGGAAAAACTTAAAATGTACTTTCTTCTAGATATTGCAGCCACTGAACTCTTTCCCCCGCCCTCCCCGCCTCCAAATCTTAGCATTTTGGAGCTAAGGAGGACTGTAGAGATCGTTTAGTTCTGGGCTCACCGTGTTGAGTGTGATGGGGAAACTGGGGTTTAGAAGAGCTAAGGTAGTTGCTTTATCACACAGTCCTTATCCAGAACCGGGGCCAGTGCTCTTTCTACAATAGTCATCGCCTTCCATAGCTGTGATCTGTCCATCAGCTTTCTTCCCTTCCTTTGTGTCCCTGTTTGATTTATTTGTTTATACATTGCTGTCTCATTACTTCCATCTGCCTTACCCTAAGTCCACCACTCCTTTTTTCCACAGAGCTGTCTGTTTTCTGCATTACTTGTTCTTTATGATGTTAGGGACAATTAGAAAATTCATAGACTCTGTCTATATTTGCCCTCTTGTTTTTAAAAGTTTGGTTTATTTTAATCAAACTTTCGCCTCTTGGGCGACTAAAGTGGTGTTAAACCTGTCAAAATGATTATTTTTTTTTTTTAAAGATTTTATTTATTTATTTGAGAGAGAG